AACAAACAGAGCATAGGGCTATGGCTATTCTGCCCCTGTCTCCTTACCAACAGGGACAAAAGTCAGATCAAGGGTCTCTTGGGGGCTTCTCCAGACTGAGAAGTGACAAAACACAACCTTTTAAGTGACGGCAACTAAAACCAGCCTGTGGGCGCATAGTGTGATCCATAGACGCCAATGGCGAACAGAAAGGAGGGCAGCTCAGAGGTAGAACGGGTGCTTAGAACACACAAAGCCTTGAGTTCAACCCCTAGGACACAAAATATAAAAATTCCATAACCGTCTTTCTGTGAAACGACAGTGCCAACACACGACAGCAGGTGCCTTCGGTCTACTGTCCCTAGCCTGCTGCTGGCCCAGGGGAAAGCACCGTGACTTGAACTTTCACCTTTGAAGATACTCAAGCAGAACACAGGCTAACTTGTGCCTCCCTGCCAGCCCCTTGCACCCTCCCAAGTTCAAGCCCACACACCTCTTTTGCAGCAAGCTGAGCTCTGCAGAGGGCCCCACAGGCCTCGTCTTTGATTCTCTCTCTATCCATGTCCACAAGTACCGTGGTTGCTCTTATTTCCAACTATGCACATGCATAAATGGCTTTCCTTTTACTTCTGGAATGTGTCACCAAAACAGCCAGCTGAGAAATATCAGGTCCAAACTGCTTGTTGAAACGGAAGGATCTAAGTTCCTGGAGGGCAGCCTGGGGGGCACAGGGTTCAGGGTGCTCACAGTGAGGTCCAGTGGAGAAGTAGCAGTATCTCTTTCAGCATCTCATGGGCAGAAGCCGGGAAGTAGCCACAAGGTGCTGGACCAGCTATGTAAGTTCTAACTGGTTCCACCTAGAGTTGGAAAAGGCAACCCAGGTGCTGTGGTTATCCAAGGCATAGAACAAGATCAATGGCGTGAAGTCAGGCAGCACTCTCCCTGTTTGGCGGTAACATCAACCTTCCACCTGATGTCCAGGGGAGGGCAATGTGATAGGGAACTGGAGCAGACCTAGGGAACTGAGCACATGTCTGTCTGGGATGTGGGAGTCAGGTGCTGTATCCTGGTCCTGTCCCAGCTGTGGCTCTCAAATCTAGGAAGAAGCCATGTCCTGAACACTGAAGAAGTTCGTCATTGGTGATGAAATTGAATATAGCAAGGACAGAAACACCATGCACAGGTTCACATTACAAATTGTGCTGCTAAAAGCCAGGTTCCGGGCATACACCCTCAGCCAGCACCCTCACATCATAATCCCCTGGGATGGCCCCACTGAAGCCCAGGGTAAGTCCTGTGCCAGAATTCTGGGCTTGTGCTGTGGGTCACATACCAACTTCTTGACTCTCAAGTGTTCCCATGGCTTCCAAGCCAATCATCCTTCTCACATCCATCCTTTTCTCACACCGGTCCATTACCCATGGTCCCAGCAGCCTTCCAGCAGCCCTGCCTCCATGCTCTCCATCTTTCTCACCACATCAGCTGGAGCTCAACTCAGATCAAATCAGTTCCCTGGCTCCAAGCCCTCAGTGATGATGGCGACCATGACTGACCACCATCTGCCTCTCCAGGTCCCTAACCACACTCTGTAGCCACAGTGACCTCTTTATTACTTGCTGATCTTGTCTATGAATGCATTTCTCCTAACCAAAATATAAAAGCCAAAAAGACGGATAAGCCGCAAGGTTGTTGTTGTTCACTCATTCCATTGTCCTCTGCACCTGCACAGTGCCTGGCAGCCAATGTGTGACCTCATAAATGAACGGAGACCCAAAATGAAGTTACCAAAGATGCGAGCTCACCTGGTCACTTTGAAATAGAATCTGTGGCAGCAGAGGTAATCGGGCCAGCTCGAATGTCACAGATCTGTAATGGGTGCTACTAAAAAGAGAATCAAAATACTCCAAGAGCCTCAAATGGTCCACAGGAAAAATTTGCATATTTCTGCTCTAAGAGGAAGACCTTATGTGTGAGGAAAAATTTGCATATTTCTGCTCTAAGATGAAGGAAGACCTTATGTGTGAGATGTAAACAAAGTGAGAGGTCTCGTTCACAATCTGAACCAGTAGGTAATACACACCACAAAGGACTTAAACCCAAGACAAAGCCGCAAGACAAAAGAGCAAAAGAGTAAGAGGGGGACACCTTGGCAACCCAAACATAGTGTCCACAGGAAGCAGCTACCATCCCTACCCAGGGTTGGAGGACAACACAAGGGGTGTCTATTTCAGCCCTAAGTGGTAAGCTACCAACCTACTGCTAATTGTTGTCTGGAGAGACCTGATGCAGTGAAGAAATGATACAGAACAGTGTAAGACAGGTCCTGAGATCAGCACTACCCATGCTCATCCAAACAGAGGGCCAGGAAGGTGAGGGAGTGAACACTGGCCTCCACCTTAGCTCTGCCTGGGTAGCACAGGACACATGGGAAGCCTATGGGCATCCACCAAGTATAACACAGCAGAAAGAGAAGAGAGTCTGGTTCTCCCCACCTAAAAATCTCTCATGGCAATTCTGGAGGAATCAAGGCAGCGGGGTCAGCACCTCTTCAACTGCAAGGGGATTCAGAAATGCAAAGTGGAACCATGGCAGGGGCCCACTGTGTGTCAGGAGCTCAGCCGGCCAGGGGCAGTTCAGGGACCCATTTCCCTGGGAAGCTTTTCTAATAAACCGAGAGCACAAACCTAACCCAGCCCAGAAATTTAATAAATACAGACTTGGGGATCTGACTGACTGGAATTAAACTGCCAGCACTGGACACAGCTGCATACCTTTCCTGTTTGAAGTTTGAAAATCCGGACAATCTTTTAATGCAAATGACACATTTGCATGAAAATGAGGTAGAATCTTCTTTTGTAATAGCGATGAGATATTTTACTTGTGGACTTGGTACACAACTTCCCTAGAATCGAAGGATCAAAGAAAGAAAAGGGGCCTTCCTGGCTTTGTGAGACAAAACTCGGTGGTACTAGGGGAGAACCAGCAGAGAGAGGAGAATCAGACAGATCATGATTTATGGTCACTCCTCTACTGCTCCCAGGATTCATCTTCATTCCGTCTAGGGGGTGCTAGCTGGACCTTTGTAAGAGGTTTCCATTAGATAAGGATGGCCACCAGTGGTGGACAGTTCTAATACTCACATAGCAGGCTATCAGAAACTCCTTTCCCTCCAGCCCCTGGGACTCACCCCAGCTACTCCATCACCGCATCTAACCCCCACTTCTGCATTCCCCCATCCTTTGGATACCTGGAAGCGGCTCTCCTAGCCCTTGTTTTACTCTTTTGGAGACTGTGTGGTCACACGGTGGCACCTGTGACATTACTCCTGGCCTTTGTATAAATACAAAAGAGGCCAGGTGAACAAGGCAAGGTGATTTCCTCCTGTCTACCCCAGGGGAGGCCTTTTTCTCATGTGACTCTACCCTGAAGCCACACCCCTTCTGACATCCTCTGCTCCAGGGCCAGAAGAGGCTGGTGCTGAGAGTAAACAAGTGGCATTTACAGACTTACTGTCATCAGACACTACCAGGCATTTCACTCCTCACAAAAACCCACAGGCAATAGGTATTGTCATAGGTGTAGACCAGGTTCCAGTTTGCCTAGGGTTAACAGCTGAGTTCTGAGACCCACTCAGAGGGACAGCCTGGAAGTTTAACTTGTTTATGGCCTGCCTTATTCCAAAAGAAGCCACTGAGTAAAACACCGACCCTTCCTTACGCTTTCTTGATCAGACATTCTTCTGTTAAAATGAAAATGTAACAAATAGCAAATTTAAAACAATAGAAACAGGTCCAATCTTGAAATAGTGCTCAGCCCCTGGTAGGGGCTGGGATGGAGATATAAGCAGGCTTGCCACTCAGGGGCCTTCACACTGGCTGGCTTTGGGAATCGGTCCAAATGATGTGTCTGCCAGGGGATGTGTCATGAGGATGAAGCTAATTACCCACAGAATCCACACACGGGTGGGGCCTATCGCCCGAGAGAACGGAGGTTATCTCAGACCTTAGACAGACAGACGGCCAAGGAGATATGTACCGGCTAACCTTGAGTACCTTCGCCCCAAGCTGCCCCAGGATTGCTGCCTGGGGGACTCTGAAAAGAGAGCTGGGGTCCATGGCTGTTGGAACCCCGGGAGGCCACACACTGACGAGAAGAAGTCTACTCCAAAACTCTATTCGTCCCACATCTCATTCTTTCTCGTCTCAACCAAGCTCTCTCAGGTTTCCTTGCTCTTTCAGTCCCTTTGCTGGCAGTAGGAAAAGGGAAGCCACCCTGTTTGAGAAAACAAGAGTCACAGCCAACCAGGACCGTCACAAGGCTAGGGAGGAGGCTGCCATGGCTAATCAAATCCGAATGCGGACCCAGCTCAGGGGTGGGGACCCTGGGCTGGCCCGACAGATGCAGGCAGGGCGGCCCCCTCCTAGGAGAGGTAGAAAAAAATTGCTGCGTGGCACTTCACGCTCAGGCTCAACTGTCCTGGGGCAGAATAGAGACAGAACCTCTCCCAGGCGGGACACAGGCAGCGATCAGACCCGAAGCGGTTCCCCAATTCCGAAACTCTACAATTGTCTCTACTCTCTTCAGCAAACCCAATCGAGCCGCCACTAATTCTCCATAGCTGGGTAGGCAGCTGGAACCCAGTAGCTGTCAGCCCCGGGTGTCGCCTCGCAAAGCTCTGCCTTCTTCAGAAGCGACTCATTCTTTGGGACAGTCAGGCAAGAGTCCTGCTGACCTCGTCCCCTTTCCCAGCCACTTATCCTCCAGGAGTGTGTGCCCCAGGCTCCATGCTGGCTCCCAGTCCTTCCTGAACGCCACTGGGTGCCCTTCTTTAGGGAACCCGGGGTCTAGATATCAGGTGCCAAGCAGCAGAGGGAAGAAACAATCTCAGTTTAACTCTTCTCTCTGACCTCATTGCACTTTGACACGATCTCGTCGCTCTGTTCCTCCCCCAGAACCACTCCCACAGCCCGCAGCCCCCGGCGCCCCGCAGCCCCGGTGCCCCCAGTCCTGTAGCCCCGCACCTTGCCGCAGCGGCGCGCGCGCCAGCTCGGGCCGGTCCTCGGGGAAGGCGTCGCGGAGGCGCTTGCACAGGCGACCCAGGTCAGCGAAGCTGCGGTGCAGATAGAGCACGCTGCGGTCGGACCACTCGGTGCGGATCTCGAAGAACTCCTCCTCGTCGCCGCGCCGGCTGACGATGAGCCTGCGGATCCCGTTCACCCAGCAGCCGCGCACGAACATGTTCACGAGCGACGTGCCCTCAAACACCGCCGAGGCCATGCCGCGGGCCGCGCATGCCCCTGCCTCCGGGGGTGCCCTCGGCCCCCGCCCGGGGTCCTCCTGGGCAGAGTGATTCCAGGAAGGAGCGATCAGAGGTCCTTAGGACGCAGCCGAGCCCCGCAACGGCGGCCAAGAGCCTCGGTGGGGCGAGGTTGGTGGCCCGCGGATGTGCCCGGACTCCCTGTACACTCTGAGGCGGGCGCCGCCGCCAGGAGTCTGTCCCGCCGTGCAAGTCGCGGCTTTATAAGGCACTTCCCATCGCGGGCGGCGAGGGCGTCTACGTCGAGTCCCGGCGGCGGCGCCTCCCTCCCGCTTCCCGCTGACCCGCCGCGGGCTGTCCTGGTCGATCGCTCCACGCGCGGCGCTGCCTCCCCTGTCTACCGGCTGCTGAACGAGGTACCCTGCGCTCTCCCGGCGAGCTGGGACACTTTCTACCCTTCCCTGCTATCCACATCGATCTTCGGGATTCTCCAGCCTGAGTTGAGCACTCTGCCCAGCCCGCGATCAGCAAGTTACTAGAGTCCCGGGTCGGCGCCGCTCGGGGCGGGGGCGCGGGCACACACAGCGAGGGAACTGGGGCAGTGGGCTTGGTGTTGATCCCCGCGCCGTCCTCGACCCGCCCGGTCTGTGCGTGGCCTGGGCCGGGACTCAGGCAGGCCCGCCCCGTGTCCCCTCGGTTGCCGGCGTCTCCGCCCCTAGTCCTCCCGCGCATTCCGGTCGTGCCTTAGCCTAGCGGAGGCCGGGGACGCGGCAGGACAGTACGACCACCAGGCGAGACCACGTAGTTCAAAGAGGAGGAGCCCCCAGGAGGTCGACCAGCCACTCCAAAGGTTGTCCTCCAAAACAGCTTGTGGGACAGAATTGTGGGGGACCGGGTCTCCCGGGAGTGCCCGGGGGGTTGTCAATAAAGCTTAGGAAGTTCAGTTGGTAGGGCTGCACACTGAGATGATAGCATGCACCGCGCGCATTTCTTAGCCTATTCCCAAGAGATAGTCTAGCATAAGAATTTTAAGTGGGCTCCAGACACACTCTTCTGCTCACAATAGGAGAGAGAAACTAAGCCTTTACAGGGCTCTAGAAAATCGCCAAAGCCCAATGTGGAGCAGAGGCATTAGAAGCCTGAAACAGGTCGTCCTTCTGTGGACTTCATTTGACCCTGATGTCCAGCGGGGTAGGGGTAGATGGCAGTGGTCACTGCTGAAACCTACTGGGCGGAGAAGTGTTTCTGTCCTCCTAATAACATCTTAATAGTTTCCTCCGATTAGTCAAAAAGTCCTACTGAGGCGCTCCTATGCTTGCACCTACTTGGACCCAGGTCCCTTCTGAAGCTGTCCACTCATTCAGCATCATCCCCAAGACCTCCAGAAGTACCACTCTTTAAGGCATCCTATCTTTATGGGAGGGTTTGCTGGGAACAATCAGGTCTTCAGTTCCTGGCTGCCCAAGTGGCCAAGACTGGTGAAGCTGGCCTGCACTTTGAGCCTGGCATTCCTGAACGCTGAAGAAAGTGTTTTCATGTTAACAGTACTTCCTTGAAGAGATTTGGAAATAAGAGAACTAGATGGCAGAGCAAAAACAGTCACTTTCTGCAAGTCTCTGGTTAGAACACTGATCTTTTATGCCCTGTAGAACATTAACCATTTCTGTCAGGGTTTCCCTGTGTAGTCCTGGCTGTCCTGGAATTTTATTTTAATACTTAGAATTTAATACTTAGAAGAAGGAAATGATTGTGTGGATCTGGAGTGGTAGCTCACATATGGAATTCAGGTATCCCAGGCAGATGCAGGAAGATCTAAAGTTGACCAGCAGCCTGGGTTACTTCGTGAGCTACACACACACACACACACACACACACACACACACACACACACACACCACAGAAATAGAATAAACACCAAGTCACTTCATGCCAATTCTTCTTGAGATAAAGTCTCACTTTGGAGCTCAGGCTGACTCAAACCACTGATCCTTCTCCCTTAGTCTCTGGGAGACTGGAGATGTATGCCACTCCCAAGGGTCTTTGGGTCAACTTTTTCATTATTTCAAATTTCCCACTGATTAATGAGTAGAATACATTTTGGCCTATATGTATTTCACAGACACATTTGGGAACTTTATTTCTAACCTTTAAAAATCAGATATATTTGGCAAGAAGAAGTATCTTTGTTTCTAAGGGAAGCATGGACTTTTAGACACCACACTGCTGTTTCCATTGAAACCAGCCCTTTGGAAGGCAGGCTAGCAGGACTTGTTAAAGCTAAAAATATTTGCAAATTATGGTCCAACAAATCCCCTCAGGGAGCATATTTTCCACTTCTAGAAAAATGCCTTTGTGTGCTGTCTAAGAGATGTGTACCAAGCAACTGTGGTTGCATTGCTTGCTAAGGTGAGAAGTGATCCAAATGCCGGATGAATAAACCACGGGCATGTAAGTACAGGGGCCTCCTGTGTGGCTGCAAAAATGAACCAACTCCAACTCTGAATGCTACAATGCCAACCTGCTTGGCAAGACGTGCCCACTACTGCAATAGTGTTTTCATGGGTATGGGAGCATGTGAGGCCTGCTCCATTGAAGGGGTTTCATGACTGGTCTATTAACCTGGTCAAAAGCCCATTACTGGGGAAACCCCAGGTCATGTTAAACTGTAGATCCACATTGCTCTGAACTGTGGTTAGAATAGTCTCCTTTTGCAGTGGGGAATAGTTCAGGCAGACACTCATAACTGGTCTAAGTACTAAGTGTAAGTGACAGTGGGTGAGTGTTCGCTGTGGATGAATCTTCTGCATCAGTTTCCTCCCACTTAAGGCTCAGAACATCACAGAAAACAGAGCAGAAAGAATATAAGTTGGTGGGTAAGGCTGAGCCATGGAATGCTTACTTCTGGGCATTACATGGCTATTGCACACACAGCAGCTCATAGGGGCCATGGCTACTGGCACTAATGCAATACTTGGAACTGAAGGTGTTTCCGATTTTGGAGTCTTTCAAATTCTCATATTGCACATAGACAGTACCAGGCTGAATGTCCCTAACCTGAAATCCAAAATGCACCAAAATCTGGAACCTTTTGGAAAGCATTAAATCCTTTGGGAAGGATTTAAAGCCAGAATTCAAAAGCCTTCCACAGCTATTAAGGGCAGTAACAAGGTATATATATATGGTGACAAGTGTGAACACCTCTGAGGACCTGAACTACATAAATGTCAGTAACTGATACACAGGGCATGGAGTGGTTTCAGGTTATAAGTCAAGCTGATTGGCTGGTTCGGTGCTGGGAGCTACATAATAGAATGTGAAAACAGAGAACAAACAGGAGCTCTGTGGGTCACCTTCTCCACATCCAAGCCCGGTTTACAATTACTGAGTTGTATCCAAGGAGGAATGTTGCTCACAGGTAAGAGCTTGGTGAACCAGATATTCCAATCCGATGCACAGGAGTCTGTATGAAACTCGAAGCCTGTGTTTTGGAAGGGGTTTTAATATCTTCTGTGATTGTTTTACTTTTATTTCCTTTTTCCTTTCAAGTTTGGCCTTTCTCCTTTAGCTTTTAAAGAGAAAGAAAACACAAAGGTTGGTAGCCTTTCCCCCAGCTAACCCCGAGTGCCCCATGTATTTGGCAACAGACCACACAACAGTTCAGAATAATCCTGAGTGCTCAGCCCAGAGCAGATAGTAAGGATGAGCCAGAATACGTTGCCCAGGGACACCTGGGATCCTATAGTGCCATCCTTTGTACATCAGCCCCTCTTTGTCCCCCACCCACTTTCTGTCTACCCCATCTTCCCAACATGCGAAGTAGGAGCAGAAGATAGCCTGATTTCATCCCGTGCTTGGGGTGTTTGGAGGCTTTTGCCTCACCAGCTGCTCTGCCAACCTTATGATGTGCCAGTGGGCATCCTGCAGCAACTGGCTCATCCTTTCTCCTCAAAACAGCAGCAACAGGACCTCAAAGTGGTGAACAGGTTTCAGACACACTGACAGGTAGTCTCAGCAGCCCAGGGGCACAGGAGGAGGTCCTTACTCTTTGACAGAAGAGGAAGCTGGGGCCTCCAGAGATAACATCTAGCCCCAAAACAAGGACCTCTGAGGACCTACTCAATGCAGACTACTCACCCACTATCCTCATCAGCCAGAATATAGGCTTTCCCACACTGTCCCCAAACACCAAGTGTCATCACTCCCTGGGCCACACTTAGAGGCAGCAGGCTCTCATTGTGGAATGGCCTTCCTGCAATGCCTGAACTATAGATTCCTCCTCAGTCCTCCCACCAGAGCTTCTCAAACTCAATGGGCCTGTGAATTTGCCAGGACGTTAGTACAAAGCAAATTGGGATGCGGTGTGTCTGGATGGAGCTTGAGTTCCTGCATTGCTGATGAGGACCTAGAGTTTATTGCTCATCTAGAAGCTTCTCTGTGCATGTAGTATGGCTGGCCATGGCACAGCCACATTTAGTCAGGAAGGTGCCAGGAGATGCTGTGGGGTGACTTCATACTGTCTGCATGTTCACCGTCATACGAAGTAGCCATCAGATTTATTTGGCTAAAATGGAATCTTTCCAGGGCAAGCGCTTGCTGCAATCACATCTTTCATGTTTGTATCACCAGTTCACAGGGCTGCCACCCGGTGAATGCTCCCTGGCAACATGCTGACTGAGTAAGCAATGGCATCAAGAACTGGACGAGACAGAGAGACAATCTGGCCTTCGCCTGGAAACTGCCATTCTTCCCCTTCCAGTAACAGGACACTGGGGAAAATTTCGCAACCCATTGTGAGCCCTGAGTTTCACTGAGACTCTAGCCCTGTGTATTGAACCACCTTGCAAAAGAACAATGTTCATGGTCACTGTCCCTTGACAGTATAGTCAGCGCATGAGGTTTTCCTTTACGCAGGAGCAACAACTTTTAAATTGAACACAAAGCCAGGCCTTTGCTGTAATTGCAAAGTAATCTTGAAGTTCATCTGAGCAAGTTCTCTGTTCTCAACGATCACATTTTCTTTTTTGGCTCCTTTGCAGATGGTAAACTCACAGTGTGGCCACTGTCTCTGCTGCTCACTTTACTCAACTTTCTACCATTGTGACAAAAAAAAGCTCAGGATAAGGCAACTCAAAGGGGGAATGGTGTGTTTTCAGTCCATGGTCATGTAGTCCTGTTGCTTTGGGCCTATGGAGAGGTCACATGTCCAGGTAGAAACACATGGCAAAGATCTGCTCACTTTGGCAGCCAGCAGGCCAAGAGGGACAGGTAGGGCTGAGGGTTCCAGTACCCCTTCAGGAGCATGACTCCAATGGCCTACCTCTCCCACCAGGCTTTACTTCCTAAAGGTCCCACCAATTCCTAGTAGTGCCATAACCTGGTGGCCAAATATTTAGTTTATGGGACTTT